TGCTGTGATAAATGGAACCCTGAATTCTGCTGTGTACCAAAATATCCTGGAGGAGAATGTCCGGCCATCCGTTTGTGATCTCAAGCTGAAGCGAACTTGGGTTCTGCAGCAGGACAATGATCCAAAGCACACCAGCAAGTCCACTTCTGAATGGCTGAAGAAAAACAAAATGAAGACTTTGGAGTGGCCTAGTCAAAGTCCTGACCTGAATCCAATTGAGATGCTGTGGCATGACCTTAAAAAGGCGGTTCATGCCCGAAAACCCTCCAATGTGGCTGACTTACAACAATTCTGCCAAGATGAGTGGGCCAAAATTCCTCCACAGCGCTGTAAAAGACTCATGGCAAGTTATCGAAAACGCTTGATTGCAGTTGTTGCTGCTAAGGGTGGCCCAACCAGTTATTATGACAGGGGGGCCAACACTTGTTCACACAGGGCTATATAGTTTTGGATTTTGTTTTCCCTTAATAATAAAAACCTTCATTTAAAAACTGCATGATGTGTTTACTTGTGTTATCTTTGACTAATATATAAATTTGTTTGACGATCTGAAACATTACAGTGTGACAAACATGCAAAAAGATAAGAAATCAGTAAGGGGGCAAACACTTTTTCACACCACTGTATGTGCTGAGTCAGGTTGTGAATCTGGATGAATAACAAAGCAAAACCACTCATCTACTGTGGGTCTCCCTCATCCCTCCCCCTGTATGCATTTGTCTCCCTTTTGTCTTAAATTGAATACAGGCTTCCCTCACTGAGATCAGAGCCTTGGCTGTTTTGTGTGGACAGTTAGCTGAGGCTATAGTACACACACACACACACACACACACACACACACACACAATGCCTTTGAGCCCCAGTAGGACTTGGGTGGCCTCAATTTCCACTGCTCCGGGAGGTCCACTGTGTAGGGCGAAAGGTAGACAGCTCTGTCTAAACCAGACATTACAGCTGTTCGGTCAAATGACTCAGAATCAGAATCAGCTTTATTGGCCAGGTGTGGTGGACACACAAGGAATTTGGCTCATGTACC